AACCCGTCCAGAGGACCTATACTATTTTTTTCTTTTTGATTTTTTACCTGGATTACTGAGATGCATCAGGACATATATCACCGTATATACAGTATATGGTGTTTTTGGGGTGGTAATTATACTAATCTCCTCTCACGTGCACGAGCAGCTGGATAGAACAGGTGTAATTTACGCAGCTCATTTACACACTTTTCCTGAAGATAGAAGAGTTTGTTGAATCTGACGTGACATGTTCGTACGAACACTTTGTACGAACAAAAGTAAGAGAAATTTAGGATAACAATACGAACATGCTCTTGCATGAGGCCCATTGTTACAACAAAGAAATAATCTACCAAACACACATTTCCTTTCTTTTTGTTCCAAGTTTATAACTGACTTGAGATGTGACGTTTAAGACCATGATCGTTTGTTAAAACAAAACCTTTGAGTCACATCGACACAAGTTTTGATCAACTTTCAGAGCTTTCTGTCAGAGAAGGCTGCTGGCAGCTCAGGATTTCACATGAAATCTTTAATCTTAATGAACAGTCAGTAAGCTGTTGTTTTATCATTAAAATTTCATTTCAGGCTCACAAACATGCTTTTGTTTTAAACAAAACGTTTCCAAACAAAAGCAGATGAAAACAAGGCTCAGATGCTGATGAGAAATGCTGATGAGGTCCTTTACCTGCTATCTTGCAGTCAGTAAAACAAGTGTCATGTAGTTTATTTATTTAGTGGTGAGTAAAGCAGCAAAAATTATGTTTTTACAATGTAAAATACAGTTGCAATTGTTTGTACAATTACAGTTGCAGAAAAGCCCCAGATTAATCAAGACATAACACTGACTGTCCAAAACTGCTGCTGCTGTCGACCAATCTCTAAAACCCAGTTTCTGAGGCCGAACAACAGCTTCATTCATGATGATGTTTCTTTAGATAAAAGCAGCTGCACACTGATCAGGAGGGAACTGACCACGTTATTAAAATCACCTGTGGGGAAACATTTTGTTTTATCGTTTTGTGAGAAGTTGAGACAAGCTGATTCAAGGAGCTTATACAGTTATAACCTTGCTTCATGTAACCCCACTTTTTGATATACGTTATGATATCCATTTAACATTTATGGTATAATCTAACCTCTGGCTTCAGACCCTCCTCTGATGGGCCTCATGCACCCAGAACTTCTTAGTTTGCACAAATTCAGTGGCTCCATCTCTTTTCTGCAGGTGCCACCTTGTCAATGCGCTCGTTGGTGAAGGAGGAACCTGACTGGAGGACAGGGATCATAGCTGGGGACCGCCCAGGGATAGTGGGTGGTCCTCTGAGGCTGCGACGAGGAAGCAGGTTTACCTGGAGGAAGGAGTGCCAGTCAATTATGGAGAGGTGTGCACGTTTATTTTATGATTTAGGCATATTAAAAAAGCAACACGTGTCATATATGCTGCATTTGTTTTAAGTTGGAGCAGGAAAGCACAATGTTCTGATTACCTTAAATGCTCAGGGGCAATAGAGCTGTGGAGATTTCCTGATTTTTAGCTGCTTCTTCATTCGAACTTTGAGAAACTTTGGGATGTGTTGGAGAAGGCTTTGCGCAGCGGTCAGACTCTACCATAATCAATGCAAGATCTTGGTGAAAAATTTATGGAACACTGGATGGAAATAAATCTTGTGACATTGCAGAAGCTTATCCAAACAATGCCGTAATCAAAGCTAAAGGCAGTTCATTGAAATATTAGTGTGTGACCTTTTTTTGGTCACACAGCTGATAAAGGTGAAGTAACAGGCTTCTGCAGAACCTGAAGAGGTAATTCAATCTCTGAATCAGGTTGTTGTAGCAGAGAAACAAGGTTAGTTTCCCAATAGGACCAGATTGGACACCCCATAGGCTAGACTAAGAGTTAGCTGAACCAGGGCCTGTTTTGTATCAATTTTGAGGCTCATAAAACAAAAATAACAAACTATTGTGAAAGAACCAATGAGGTATAAAGCATAGAGATGTCACGCATGCTTCAGAAGATTGACCACTGTGGTACAAACATGACACCATGAAGGGGCGAGCTGTCATTGTTGACAGTTTATTATGTCATGGTTGCCACATTCAGCTTCACCAGCTTGTCCTCGTCCCGAACAATATGGCCGCTCTCTCCTACCAAGAAAATTCATGTGATAGTCACTCTATTCAATAAACTTTATTGGAAACAAACACTACATTGGCTAACCAGTCACGATGTTAAGAGCAAATGCGTTTTTTGCATTAGGTAAGTGATAGTAAACCTGTTATTTGCGTTCAGTTCAGTGGACTTCTTTAACATGTTAAAATTGTTCCTCTGGGGGAAAAAAAACGTTGCCAGCTTGTTTATTGACACTTGTAAATCAATTTCAAGAAGACTTCAAGAAGATTTTTATTTCCCTCTCATGTTCACTAAACATGATGTGCCCTGGCTTTTCTGCAATATATTTGTCCCAGACAATATTCAGAGAGAAGCTGAGCAAAAAAAAGAAAGAAAAAAAAAGGGGGGGGGGGGGGGGGGCAAAGAGCCCGCTGTGTGCAATTGATTTCTTTATTACATGGTAGCTGTAAAGCATAGTGCAGTCTGGGCACTCTGAGTAATAAGAGCACACAGACAACACTCACCAACAGGAGCTCCAGATTACGCAACTTCACTGCAGTGCTGATCCTTACGAGCTAGTTAAGACCCAAGGACGATACTGTAGAGGTGAAGATGGGGGGGGGTGTGTGTGTGTGTGTGTGTGTGTGTG